TTCATGCCCCGAGCCCCGAGACCCGTCGAAATATCCAATGAGAGGTTAATTTGCTGTAAAAGAATGCAAAATGTGTGGTTGTAGTTGTAGTCATAGGTAGGTACCGTAACAGGGATCCTGGTTTAGTTGGGGTTCTTTCGAGGTTGTAAGGTGAGCGCGTGACGTACGTCAGCAAATCCCTGGTAATCCGGCTATGAGATGAAATAGATTACCGCACATACACTCCGGCTCATCTCGAGAATTACAGAATAGAAGTAGTCCAACGGAAAGGAAATTGCGGGATCCGAATACGTTAGTTTACGGAAACAGGCTTTCGTTATCGGCATAACGGTCTCGGGATTTCTCCCGGGTTATCGCGTTACACTCATTTTGAGACCCTATTTTCCAACTTTTCTTCTTCTTCTTCTTTTTCTCTGATGTTAAACTTGAATTTCTTATCAATTCCTCGAAAGTATTTTAATTATTAAAACTTGTGTTTTTTATTAATTTAAAAGAAAATGATAAGCGTACCTATCTATAGAGATGGATGTTTATAATAAACAAAATAGAGGCGACAGTCTTGCAGGTCGTCGGTGGTTGGTGATGAAGCTTCTGCTTACATCCTTCCACTCGGTCGCCTTATCTACATGCATAATATACCCACAAAACCGTGAAATTAGTTTTCACCGCAGTGTTATTACTCCGTCATCGGGTTCTTTGCTCCTCGTATTTATATTTAGTCTGGTTAACGATAGACCCGACGTGTTATGCTATACTTTACACTATATATCGATTTTAATGTGTACTAGACTCTGAATAAACCTCAGACTAGTTAGCGAACGTCAACTCGCTAAAAAATAAGTGATCTCTTCTGTATCATTACCATTAAATTAATGATTAAAACCTCACAATATACTTTATATACCAACCCAAAAATAATAATAAATAATTAAAATTCAGCATTTAATTTAATATAAAATAATTAAACCGCGACGAGAGCCATCGTGGGATTTTATGAGCGTTTTAAGCGGCGCTGCTTTGTTTCCCAGCTAATGAGTCGTGACATGGACGGTAAATATTTATTACACCGTCAAGGGTCCGAACTTTAAAGTTGTGTTTAGTAGTACGTGCTAGAAACAACAGAGTGACACATTGTTGTATGTCAGTAGGGTTCTCGCTGTCCCAAGTGCCTACTTCTATTCTCTAGTCGAGTGTACGAGTAAAATCCTCCTCCTCCTCCTCCTCTCGTTTCTCGTTCCCTTTGATCCCTTAACCGCAAGTTATCAACCCTCACACCCTCACAGTGTGTCGATACAAGATGTTACATATTCATCGGCTCTGATATCCCCCAAGAGCTGTTATTTTAAGCATATTCTCCTTCATTATCTCCCGCTTAGACTTAACCCAAATAAGTTACACTTTCGTGTAAGATTTCATGTTTCACCTCAGCAACTTTTAAACAAAATTAAATTCTTTTACCTTCAACATTATCTTTTGTTTGAGTATTGATTCATTCCTCGGTCGATTGACAGTTCTTCGTGTCAAACATCTAATTATTTCAGTCACGTTAATTTACCTCTCGTGACTGTCTCACATTTACGCTCTTGCGCTATTGTATTATCAAACCTTTTATCCGTTTATCAAACATACATTTAAATACCAGTCTCATTATTACTATTGTAATTCTGAATAGTTGTGTGTACCTATATCATCGGCTCGAATGCAATTAACATTAGTTTTTTTATGTCAATTTGTCAAGTAGTTTGTCATGTCACTCTTCAAGTGCGTGTTTTATTATTACTTCACCACCAAATTCTATTGGAAGTAATAATGAACCATAAATTATTCATTATATTTTTCCACAAGCTTGTAATAAAATTAAAAAATTATGTTGATTATTTGAATTGAAATAAATATTGAAAAAATTCAAAGCGTGTTAACAACTAACAATAGTATAATTACACAGAGCAGAGGATAAATGTAATTATTGCATAAATAACTCGGATAATTTATATAAGCTACAATTTCATCAGAATACTCAAGATTGCTAGGAATTCATGTTGAGGCCAGTCCAGCAGCGTCTATTAAATGAACAGCCTTACGTTCAGATCGCACGTGTAACCACAACATACTGGGCAAACACAGACAAGCACACAAGTAGAGCGACACAGGGATGAATAAAGCTAACTCGGATTCAGGTAGTTGAGTTTCACGGCAAGAGGGTCTGGGGGTGGATAGAATTACGCGACAATGGGTTGGTCATGGGAAATTGAGTTGGCACTGATTAGACATTGCGGACATGCCGTCATGCCGTGATGCTCAGTTGGAATTTACTCAGTATAACTGAGCCAGAGTGTCCTCTTCCTCTTCTACTTATACTCGGTCTTTTTCTTGGTCTCTATTCCACCCTCCAGCTGGTTTATTTCTTCTCCCGCTCCCTTCAACTCGTTTGTAAGTCTTTACATGTGTAGGTCCAGGTACAGATGATACGTATGTAGGTTAATACCTCGTCATGGCTTTTTTGATTTTGCCTGGAATACCTTTTGAGAGTAGATTGCCAATCGAATTGTCTGTGACTCGTTGAATCACAGAGCACGCCGTCGATCTGATGGGTTTTCATCAGCTACCGCAGAGCTTCTACTCTTCTATTCATACTTTATTATTCTTCTTTTATTTTTTGAGCTTTTATTATAACTATAATTACATAATTACGACAACGATTAATTCGTTATTTGAGTGAGTAATTTGTGGCATTTATCAGAGAGGTAATTAATGGGCTAGCTAGAGGAGATACGATTTTGGAATAATGAGGAAATGGAAAGAGTGTAAAGTGGAAATTTTGTGGGAATAAAGAGGAAAAATAAAAGTTTTAAGTAAAGGAGTAAAGAGTGGCACGATGAGCGAATTCGTTTAACCGCACACGGATAAACCACGAATTATTCTTCGGAGCGTCGACGAATTAGTTCCGGGGTAACGCCTGCGGTGAGCTGCCCGGATTCTCGGTGACCTGTCTGAGATATTTCTTCCTGTCTCGCTGCTGTTGTGCCGGAGACCAAAGACCCCAAACCCTCCCTCAGAGGCATAAATTTCGCGGGTACGCGATGCGTGCACCGAGTAGTCTGCCAGTCTGGCTCCAGTTCTAGTTTTTTTTTTTTTTTTTTTTTTTTTTTAAATCAATCTAAAGAAAACCGAAATTAGTCTTGCTTATTGTAATTAGACCAATTATCATTATTGTTTTGAATGTCCTGGTGACTCTTGGCACGCCATTTACGCCCGAGTTTCCAGCTAAAAACCAAGCTATAATGCTGGTGTCGACAATTATTACGTTTAACCACACCTGCACCCAGATCCCGACATCTCGTGGGAATTTAACTTTTAGTTTTATTTGTCTTCTGTTAAAATTCCGATCTATAAAAATAAATTTTGAAAATGTCATTAAAATACGCTCGTAAAAATTTTTTATTGTAAATTGGCTGAGAAAAAAATTTTTATTTGCCGATAAATGATTGAAGATAACTTTAAAATTTATCATGATATTCAATTTAAATTTTTTGTTGAATTATTTTTAATACAATGCTCACATCAAAGAGATAATTTATTTACAAGTATTGTAGCGCGACAATGTAGAGCAAGACTGATTGATTAAATGGATTATTAAATTAGACTAACAAAAATAGTGATTGAATATCGATACTCCCGTGAAAGCTGAGTAGTTTGTAGAGGATAATAGTGGACGAGTGAACATTTGACGTGGAAGCCTCGGAAGTGTCGAGCGCAATATTAGTAATCAAGACGATCTGTTGTCAGGCTTATTCACTTGGTCACTGTCAGAGGGAATTCCGTAAGCGTCTTTGAGTCAAGTTACCCGTGGAAGACAAATAACCAACAGAGGAACAGATAATCCTTAGTTGAATACCAATAATTAGATATTTATCATAGCACAAATACAACCAGTGCTGGAGGATCGATTGCGGTGTACATTGAACAGTAGGATTTCGGTGGCACCAGGAGGAGCGATGAGGATTTCAGTAGCATTAGTAGACTCACCCCTGTTTGTTCTATAGAATAGTGAGCGATAACCAATGTTTTCACGCCCCTTTACTGCTTCCAGCTACAGCTCGAGCTGTGGTTATCGTTAATCGTAAGTGTCCATTATTCCATCACTTTGCGGTTTCGTTCCACCGCACTAATACTGCCCGAGTGCTGGTGCTTTCCTCTATTCTAGGTTATAGGTGCTTTATACCTTTGTATCCATCCTATGAGAATCTATCTAAGCAACACATGTGACGTTATTCTCGTCATTAGTTCTGGGTCATATGCTATTACTAAATACTCCTCTTGTCACTTCCACGTTAGATCACTCCTGATAAGGTGTGAGCGTGACAGTGAACCAAAGAGTAAAATTGTCAGTTTATTTGAGCTGTATCAATATTCCATATTTCTGTTCTTGGAATTAATCGTTACTAGCAACTTTGCAGTTACTATGTGACTGCCATGACGTGAACTATATAAATAAAGAAAATTTTATTTTATTAAATAGACTTTTGTTAAAATGCACTCTAGTTTCTTAATTATTGACGTTTTTAAAGATATAAGCTCATCCCGATGTGACACTCATCAAGAGCTTTCATTTGAGTACCCAAAGTTTAAAAAATTAGATATTTTTAAAGTTCAATTAAATTGAATTCTTCAGTAAATGTTGCCTAGCAACCTTAGAAACGCCTCTAGCAATAATTCCTTAGCAACTGGAACCTTTGCCTAGAAACCTTAGCAACGCCCCCTAGCAACAATTTCTTAGTAACAAGGCTTCAAAATCCCCTCCAATTTCTTTTACTGACTCTTTTAACATAAATAAATGAAAATTCTTTAAAATAATTGGATACTATTTGGATAGCAGATAATAAACTAATTAAAAATAATGAAGTAGCAAGCATGAAGTGTAACAAAATATAATTAACAGAAGAAATATACATAGAGCAGGTACATGGTATTAAAGTATAAAAATAAAAGAATAATTATTATTATGCGTAGGCGTCGTGAGAGTACTGGTAATGACTGTCGTCAGTCTCTAACTGAAAGTGATGCTGTTTTTGATTATCATCGTGATGAGCAGCCGGTTCGTAAGTATGGGCGTGAGTGGAATACTTCGCACCGGAGTGATCATTCTTTCCCTTCCTTTCGACGTGCGCGTGAAATCCGTCCTTGTCAGCCTTGTACTTAACGACGCGAACGGTGCCGCCTGGTTCTTTCACGCTGTACTCTCCGCTAACACTCGATCCTGAAAATAGACCAGGCAATTTAATAAATAATTACAACTATCAATTAAAAACGCATATAAATAAACTGTAGTCCGGCTGGAGATGTTAAAAATTCAAATTAATAGCACAGCTTTCTCTGCTCACCGTCTCTAACTTCTTTCTGCCCGTGAAAGTCTCCGGTGTGATGGTCCTCGACTCCGTACGCGAAATCGTATTTGGGATGCGCGACGTAGTCCGTGACGTGACCAAGAAATCCTTCCTCGTGCTTGTGGTGCTCCAAAAGATCATTACTGTCCTCATGATGATGATGGTGCTCGTGGTCCTCGTGGTGATGCTCGTAGTGATGCGGAATCACATATGGCACTTTCACTTCGAACCCTGGACCCTCTACCGGTCCATGGAAGTGCATATAAGACGTTGCAAATGGTATGTGCTCATGATCGTGCTCATGATGATGCTCATGCTCGTAGTGATGATGGTGATGATCGTCCAAAGAAGAAAATGAGACGACTCCTGCCTTTGATTGATAGATATTTAGAAGGCACAGACACAACAATACCTGTAAATTTATTAAAAAATTGTTTTTTATGTGAAAAAGATTTTTTTTTGAGAAGCTTCTAAAGCTAAAATTATTTAAATTAAACCCTAATTATTAATAAAGTCCTCAAAAAGCTAAAAAAAAAATTTTTTAGTTTATTACTTAGTGGCTCAAAATTAAGTCTTTACTAGGGAGACAATTTGGCGATCATGCGCCACCTATTGTAATTTTTTTACACTAATTTAATCAAAAAATTATGTATGACTTTGTAAAGATGTTATGACGTATAAAAATTTTTTTTCACATTTATTTTCACTATTATCTCGAGCAATTAAAAAAAACGGCGAGTAAATTATAATTAAAATAAAATAATAAAAGAACCACAGCACCTTGAGAGTCATCCTTAGCCTTAACAGTAATCGTGGTGGTTAAAAGTATGACTGCAACTTTCAGCCGGTAGATGAACGTTTTTATAGTTCCTCAGCTCGTAATGTTTATTTCAACCGCGTTCACACATTCACACACGTGAATCCTCCGTCCATTCTACATAACAGTTTTTTTATCCTTTTATTAAACGGGTCTAGCGAAGCGTGGGGCATGTGGAGGTGAATCCATGGGTAAGTTACCTTGGTGTGCGTATGAGTGTGTCTATTATACATCAGTGAGCTTTCTCAGTCGCTCCTCCTTCCGGACAATCGACATCTGGCACATTAATTTGCGCGGTAACGCGGACTGTTGCATAAGTAATGACTTTTCATCTTTTATAGTGTAACATCATAAAGAATAAGAAGAAGAAAAAAATACGAGCGTGATACAGATCCATGTTTTGAAATACAAACCGGGGTGTATAGATATAATCCATGATATATGGCACTATATACCAACAACTCACATCATTCTCGACGGAAAGTTTTATCCGTCATCTTAGACAACTGCGGGACTCCCACATGCAGCAGACGTTTGGAAAAGTGGCGACAACCAGTCGGTGAAAAGAAAAATGTTTACTCTTTCACGCGTGAGATGCCTTCGCTCGATGTCGTAAAACTTGTTCTTTATTCAGTTATATATATATATATATATATAAATATACAAATAATAAAAGGTATGATATATACTATGAGGGTGGTTGATGACGCGCTTGGTACACCAATGCTCGCCAGTTTATAAAAGTTGCATTCGGGGCTCCAGTCGTTGCTTCTTATACTCCATGGTACTTTGTCATAACCACTTTATCACTTGCCAAATGCCCGAACCTATATTTAATATAATTTATATCTTTATCTGGGTTTTTATTGGCAGATCACAACGTCGTCATCCTTGTTATTATTTATATTGTTGTTGTTGTTGTTGTTATTGTTGTTATGTCGAGCAGAGCTGAGCTGAGGCAAAAAGATAAAATTAGTGAAAGAAAAACTTTCACGGTAGAGGAACGGAAGTTACCAAAACAAACGTTATCGATTCATTACACTCGAAAGTCATCAGCCGGTCGTGCGTGACATTTAAATGTCCGTGTGAGTGTTTGCTTTGTCGCTCTGTTTTTTGACCATTTTCCATTCTGAAAGGGATTAATGATTATGATGATTGTGAATTTTATAATCCGCTGTTGCGATACTGACTGTGAGAGCTGTTAAGACACTTGAATGCGATTTCGTTCCAGAGGCTTAATGTTTCAGCTGATGATATGATATTGATTTAATGATACTAATGCCGTGATTATGATTCGGTAATCCGTAAATTTGGAATATTGCTAATGTTACCAGGCGAAATAAATTCTGGGTGATTTGGAAATTCTGGTAGAGTTTGCTGCTAAGAGGATTAATGTATTTGATAATTCATCAGAATATTCCAATGTATAACAACAAATATATAATTTTCAAAATTAATCATTTGTACAGGAACCAAAATATTGTTTATTGTTTTGATAATGTTTTTTGATAAATGTTGATAAATTTAATATTTGCAATGTTTTTCATTGATTGTTCGTCAATTATTTATAAAGAGTAAATAAAATTCATTTTATACATTCAAATAAATGTATATTTATATTTCCAAATTATTAAAAATTACTCCTTGTAAAAATAAAAAATAAATAATTTTTTAATATTTTAAATAAAAAAATTCTTTGAACAGGTAAGTTTTTATTCAATTTTAGTCATTAAATTTATCTTCTCATTATTAGACAATTTTATCAACATTATTAATTTTAATCAGCTAAAAAATCATTAAAGTATGTAATGAAAATCCCGGAAAATTAAAAAAAAAAAGACCATCGGAATCTTTAATAAATATTTAATAAATCCAATTAAAAAATATTACCACTTGTTAATTTAATCAACAAATAAAGTAATTAAAATATGTAACAATAGATAAATATTTATATACAATAAAATTTAAAAAAGACAGAGAAAGTGCAAATAAGTGTACAAAGTGAATAAATTTAAAAAAACTTTTACTTAAATCTTCCTTTAGTATATAATCAGTGCGTGATATATTTAAATAAATAACCAACTGGCGTATTTTGCATTTATAAGCTCATTAAATTCATAGATTATTGTTATAATATTAATGATTATGTCTATGATGATATGTTTATATTAGTTTATTTAAATAAATAGCCAGTAATTAAGACTTCCGTTGGGGTACATAATGACCGTGATCATGATGTAAAAATTCAAGTTGCGTAAATAAATAAATCCATAATTATGCATTAACGTTAATACAATGTTGTGTGTTATATATTTTAATTTGAGTGGATTTTAGATGCGTATCAGGGAAAGCAAGAGTAGGAGATAGGAATGTGCAGCGATACCAGTCCAGTTACAGTTTCATTCATGTATATATACTTGTAAAAAATTTTATATGGTCTGATAAGCTCGTATGTGGCCATATTAAAATTTCTGGTATATTTATATGTGATTTAAAAATTATATATTGGCTTGTTAATCGTATATTGTGAGCATTTCAGGTGTTTTGTTTGTTTGATAAAAGTTTTCTCGATCGGGAAGCTAAAACTGGACCGAAAAGAGGACAGTGAAGTGCCTCGGGGCAGGGTCCGATGGAATGAAATAAAAGTAAGACCTGGTGGAAATAAAAGGCGAATCAATCGATCTTCTTTGCAGTCGCTTAATTATCCGAGAACACCATCTGTCAAGGAGAATACGAGGAATAGAAGAATGTAACCTCAAGGGCTTTGGAATATTTTTTTTTTATCTTTCCTCCCGTACACTGTTACCTCTCTTGTCTATTTTTGCTCCTACAGTGACTCTACAATTTATCCAATTAACTTTCAGTTAATGGCTTTTAAATCTGTTAAATTCGTTTTGAAAATATTAACACATTTATTATTCTCATGGTTATGCATATTCCGCAGCAAACCAAATAGAATATTCACTCGTAAATATCTGAATATCTGATCATTTTTTTATTTTCCCACCGTTATTTGATATTATTTTTTGAGTTAATGGCTTTGATATATATTCAATGATATTTTTTTATGCATAATCCTCGTGAAATTTTTAAAATAAAAATTTTATTGCTTTCATTTACTCTAAAATTTAATATTTCAGTTACAAATTTCGATATTACAGGTACATAATTGAGCAATAAAATATATTAAACATTTTGATTAATTTGGTCAAAGGTTTAATTAGTATTTGATTAAAAAATTTAACAAAGCTTACATTCATTTTAATTTAATATTTCTGTCGAATGATCAAATTATAGATTTTATATTTTTAATTAAAATACAGTCATTTATTGATGCCCGTAATTTGCTTCATTTTATTAGTAATTATTAAAGGCAGTTAGAATTTAAATACCCGCTAAATTAATTATTATCAATTGCCAATATGTTTAAATTAATAAATAATTATTAATAGCAGTAATAATAATTTTAAAAAAAATTAAATTTATTTTCTTTTCTAATAACAAAAAAAAAAAAAATATTAATAATTATTATTGATAAAAACAGTGTGAGTAAACGTATCCAACTCTCTAATTAGCATCCACTTGCATTAGATGTTAGTAAATCAAAGTTCAAGATCCGACGAGTACGAGTAGAGTCACTTGCACTTGACACGGTTGTCGAGACACGAGGCTTTCACTTTGCGGGCCAGTGTATGCACAGGCACAGACACAGAATAGAACAGAAACGCGGTGACAGTGCGGTCGGTAGACTCTACACTCTAGATTCTACTCATATCAGTCAGACCTGTTGATCAAATATAATACATAACGCTGATATAATATCATATATGATATGTTTCTCTCCTGCATGTGTTCTCATCAGATTGTACTAGTTGTATCGTGATCGCGAGCTTTTTATTATATGTCCGCGTGTATTATGTACAGAGGGCCTAGCCTATCAAATCTCAGCTCCGTAGATGTGATACGCCATTACACCTCAATTGACATAATAATAATTCAAACGATAATGATTGCGAATTTATTTTAATTACAGACTTTCATAAAATCTTAATTTCTCGGTACACCAGATACCAGATGATTTATGGTTCATCTCGCGTGTCTGTCGTACAATATTAAAATTAATAAAAAACGAATGGATTTACCCGACGTACAATATAAATTAAAATTACAGAACTAAAGGGAGGCAAAATACCTTCACAGTTGAAACGTTGAATTTTTTTTCCCTTTGTTTTTATTATTTTTTTAGCTAATGGACTTTTTACTCGGATTAAAATAATACGGTTGATGTAAAAGCGGATAAATGCCGCCGCTACTCTTTGTGCTAGCTCACGGTACTCTGTTCGGCTTTTGTACAACCAGAGATCTGATGATGTGAGCTGGTAATTTAATACCAGTTCATCATCATTTTATCATCTACAGTACTAATATAACTAATACAACACACAAGTGACCTGGAGAAAACTGACGTAACCATTATTATATATTACGCGTCTATTGATCCAAGAGCTTCCTTAAAACCCCTTCCGTCTTGTCCTTATCTCCTGCAATCGCTTTTGCATTTTCATCTTCATCTAACCGCCTCGGCCTTTGCTCTCCATTCATTTCTTGCCTCTATGTAAAATGAAAAACTCTGGATCTATCAACTGGGCTATTCACCGTCTCTTTTTGCATTATACTCTCATTATTGCTTCTTTTTTGCTTCATTTTTACTGAGTTATCATTTTCTATTTGTCAATTAATTTTTACATTTTCATTTTTTAAGAATGTTATTAAATACTAACAACCTGCAGTCACTATGTGACTGTCAAGACTCTTAATAATAAAGATTTATTGATATTTAATTAATTCTATTAATGCTCTCTCTTATAGCGAGAAGATTTAGCGATCATGTGCCACCTGTCGGATTTTTTCAAAACTAACTTCTATAAAAAATTAAAATATAAGAATACCATATAAAATAATGTTTTTACAAGGAATAAAAAGATTCAATTAAGAAAAAAATAATTACAATTGATATTAAACAGCGTAAATTTTATTTATCACCAAAAAGATACATATAATGGTGTAGAGATAAGAAAAAACAAACTACTTGGGATCTCTCAAAGAGACATGGCGAGGGTATAATAGGAGAAGGATGAAAACGACGACAAGTCGACGTCTGGATCGCAAACTATTAATAACGATCCGTATCGCAGACCACCGGTGGCTACTGGCCCTGGCTAGCCCGGTACATAGAGTGATTTATCAACTGTGCCCGTGCCCGGCGTAGGTACCGCCGGAGTGGTCGTTTCCGCCGGAATTGTGTACTATGGCATGAAAACCGCCATGATGGTCTGCGTGGTACTTTACGGTCCTGACATTGCCGCCGGGTTCGTGCACGGTGTACTCACCTGCTACGTCCTTCCCTGTTGCCATTAATTTCAGGTTAATAATCACAGTCATTAATTATTAACTAGTTACCCAATTAAAAATTAATAAACTAAAAGTTTTAGCAGTAGTTACTGACCGTCGCGATGTTCCTTTTGTCCGTGAAAGTCTTTAGTGTGATGATCCTCAACGCCATATGAAAATTTGTACTTGGGGTGGGCTTTGTAGTCGACGTGCTCGTGTCCGTGCTTGTCTTTCCAGACAACTTCAACACCCTCGCCCTCGACTGGCCCGTGAAAGTGCTGGAAGGAATGCGCTTTGTGAGGCGCCGAAGTGGACCTTTCCACGGCAGACAGAAGGACTACTACCACCAGTGCGAAGCTTACCAGAACCTGTTACAGCACAACATACAGAAGAACAACAATATTAGTTAACAATCCAACTCGCTTTTACGGCTGAAGTGACCGGGAACAATCCCTGTCTCAGCCTCAGCCATTTCCAACAAATAACCTCCCAACTCTCAACTCTAGTATCAACACTTGTTCACCATCTACCGAAAATACCTTTATCGACACCATTCTCACGAGTACTTCTCTCTTCTTGAGGCGTATTCTGCGTCTAATGGTCCAACTGTCAAACCGATATTGCTTTTATACCCCGACGAAAATCTCCAATCTCAGCTCTCGTGTTACATGACTGCCTTTTTTCCTTTTTTTCCCCGTTAACAAACATTTTCGTCACGCCAATTCTCCGGTTGATTGGAATTATCCAACCTTTCGGTTCTTTATTTTTACGCCTCTATGGGTCTAATTGTCAGTGCAAGACGTTTTTACTCTCTATCTCAAACTCAAGCTGTTGCGACACCAAAAAGAAAATAATTGTTACAGAATTGGACAGTTGATTTCATATAAAGCGGACCGTAAAAAAAATTTCGTGATATTGCATGATATCATAATTATTTATTTACAAGCAACCTTGCAGTCACTATGTGACTGCCGATAATTGCGAACTATAAATAAGTGAAATTTTACGTTATTAAATAATGACTTTTGTTAAATTGCACTGTAATTCCTTAATTATTGATATTTTTAAAGATATAAGCTCATTCCGATGTTTCACTCATTAAGAGCTTTCATTTAAGTACCCACATTCATTTTTGATATATTTTTTATATATAGATATATGTAATGTATATAAAATATATAAATATATGAAAAATTGATGTGGGTACTCTAATGTAAGGTCTTGATGAGTATAACATCGGAATGAGTTTATATCTTTAAAAATGTCAATAGTTCACGCAATAAAAGGTCATTTCTTAATTATTTTCGTTAAATTGCACTGTACTTCCTTAAATATTGATATTTTCAAAGATATAAGCTCATCCTGATGTTACACCCATTAAAAGCTTTCATTTGAATACCCACATGCATTTTTCATATATTTTTCATATATATATATATATATTTATAACATATATAAATATATGAAAAATTGATGTGGGTACTCAAATGAAAGGTCTTGATGAGTGTAACATCGGGATGAGCTCATATCTTAAAAAATATCAATAGTTTACAAGATACAAGGTCATTTTTTAATTATTGATATTTTTAAAGATATGAAGACTATCCTGGACTCAAAATTTTCTTTATTCTCTTAATAATATAGATTAACTTTAAGTAAATAAGTAATTTTTTATCCATCCGTGCCGAAATCAAGCCCGATATGCTAATTGGCTGCATAACAAAATTTTAAAGCTCTACTTGATTTAATTTACAGCAACAAAAGCTCTGAATAAATGAATTTATAAATTTAAAAAGAGCTTTACGGCAAACAGTTGCTTATAATAGAATAGATTTGCAGTGTTTTCTTGAGCACCGAAACCACTGAGATGGCACGCATTAGTTTCTCGAGAAGCAGCGATTCGATAAAGCTCCTTTTCACCGCGAGACTCTTGCTGGTTCGCTCCTCGGAGAAACTCTATTCCATTTATTTTTCTTAGCTGGGTGTAGTCGAGCAGGGTACGGACTGAAAATTTCTAGCGTAGAACAGTGGAGAGCTCGAGCCAAAAAATCCAAGCAGTGCCGTTATTCAACTCTGGCTTATTGGCCTGACGTTTCCTCAGGACCTCGAGTAAAAGCTCTTCTGACTTTTTCTTCTTGCTCTTTAACCAAAAAAAAAAAAAAAAAAAAAAAAAAGAAACAAGAAAAAGAAGGAAGAGGAGAAGAAGTAACCCCTTTGCACGAAATCCACCAGGCGTGCTTCGTCGAGCTTGTGCCGTCTGCGAGAAACCTTTGGTAGCTTTTTTATATCCACAGGACTACATTTTCTTGGGGTGATCCACTTGCTACCCGGTCAGATGCTCTTTCAAAGGACAGATCCCTTTGAAAGGACAAGAAATTCAGCAGCAAAGTTCCCCTTGGTGGAAACGATCGTGACTTTTGGTGTTTGCTCCTTCCTAACACACACGAATTTTTTCCTCAGGATGTCCTAAGTAAAACCAACACTTGGATCCAGTTTAATCTCACTTCCTGGTATCGTATTATGCAAACGGGCACTCCATAAATATCTACGTGGCCATTGCATTTTATACAGGCATTAATATTACTCGAGAGCATGGCTAAAAATTCGCAGTCTGGCTTCTGGGGTACTTTTTGTCCCGGCAGATGAGCCAGAGGTTCTTTCGTATGAATTGAATAATCCATTGTTGATGCTCCAACTAGGTAAAGTTGAGTATGTTAATGAAATTTTAAAAATCCAGTTAAACTTTCCGTGGAATGTGTGTCCTTTGACGAGGACACTATCATCCAAAATTTACTCAATTTTCAGCTAATTCATTTCTGAATTAATACAAATAATTTGATCATTAGTAATGTAATACCTACCGATGAGCACGGCCGAGTTTATCAGTTCTATTTATCTGCCGAGTGGATAAACACAATTGAGTTAACAACGACATATTGAATGGCTTAAAAGCCCAGTATTAATTTTCAATAGACTCGATAATAATACTTGGTTTGTTTTGACTTTAAAGCTCAAAGAGCTCATCAGGCTATTGAAATTTAAAGAGGAAAAATTCTACATATTTTTTTTCAAAATCAAAGTTGGGGAATTAAAAAAAAATTCTGATAGAAAAATTAGACGTATCAGAAAAAATTTTAATGGATTAGGGTCAAAGAGAGTCTGTTAACATTCCGGATTAAAAATTTTTTAATTACTCTCGATACTCAATTAGTTTTGGTACTAAAAGTTTCCAAACAACTTTTAAGCGGAATAAACTTCTTGGCAGACGAACCCGAGGAACCCGAGGAATTCGTTACAGATTAAAAGTGTAAGACCAAGAAGAGTTTTAAAGTCAACTTGCCCGCGAAATTCTTTCTATGACATTCAATATCCGAAAAAAGAGTAATCTTTAAGATGGATACCGGATTAAATTGGCTGCTCCCTATTTTGCGGATTAGTCGACCAGAATCAATTCCCAGAGCGACTAAAATTACTTTAGAGATACAATTAACCGGTGAAATATCATTTATGAGCTTACAAAGTGATGACGTCCAAAGTGAACTCCTTGAGGAGAAGCGGTTGGTAGTGAAGAAGCTGTTGGCGAGTTTGGAGGACTTAATATCGATGGAAGATATGCTAAATGTTCTGGCTGGAGAATATAGACTACAGAATATAGAAGCGACTGTTTAGCATATTTCGTAAGCCCGGTCTGAGGCGCTAAAGGAACAGAAAAGCGGGTGCAGTCCACTAACGGTTCAGAGTTATCTGGAAAGACGGGTGTTGGAAACTCCTAGCAAGTTTAGTGCTCTCGATATAATCCATCAGATTCGTGCTAACTCAAGCCCGGAGTTTGCTGATGCTTCGAATTTAAATTTATCTGAGATTATTGCCGATCAAGTCCAATGCCTATTCGCACGGCCAAACTGCTCACAGAGATAAAGATTCTGATTGAGATTGAATGAGTTTTTGCTCTGAAGATGTCTTTGGTGGAAATCAATCAGAGACGACATTATAGTTGTCCTGAGAGTTATTGTTATTACTTATCATTGAGATGAGCAAATAGTGTTCGAATCAAATCAAATTGAATAGAAATGTTTACATTCAATCAATCCCCTAAAAAATTAAATATAGACAGACACATTATAGGATTATTTTTGGATGGACAGTTATCAGTTATCAAAGTGTAAACCAATTGGAGAGAATCCAGCTTACTCGGATATGCATAAACAGCAAATCGGAGGTAGTTTTGCCGAGTAAATAGTCCGTTATTCTGTTTCCGGGATCCTCTTTGAAAGACAGGAACAACTACTGGGACTACGAAGGCTCGTTTATAAAGAGAGTTTTGCGTTTGGAAAGTTTGCGGAAAGAGAGAAAGCAGATTTGGTTGTACGTGATCGGACTATAGAGACGTATTTTTACCACATGAACATCGGAGATCCACGAATAGGTAAGGAACTTAGCTGCGCGATTGCCAAGATAATACAATGAATGCTAAATGACTTATTGTGTTTTGTTTGCATAATGTAGATGTACCGGACTCGCTGGGAATTACCCAACTCTATTTACTTATTTATCCGCCAGTCAATCTTTTTTCGTTTTTTTTTCTCTTTCCTAACGATTTTGTTCTGGTTTGGAATGTCGAGCGGTCGAATCCGTGTTTGTAGGCAGAGCAAATCGTCAAGTCGCTCAATCGAGACTGTAAAATAAGCAGAAAACCGAACTATTCACCAATCGAGGTATATTGCATCCCAGTTGGTTGTGAAATATTCATGAAAACGGCTCACCCCATTCCTGGTGGCGTCCTCCGGCTGGGGCTCAGGCGCTCCCTTCCCCTAATGATAAATCCACATCCAGAGTAGGTATATAGACGCAGTTATGCCTGGCTGAGTGGGTAGTACCTATGCCGTGGTGTATCCTATATTCTGCATCGGCTCAAAATTTACTATCGATCTATATACACATCCAGATACACTGTAGACTTGAATATAATACATCAGTTTCCTGTTACTCTAATACGCTCCATACATCCCAAATGTATTGCTACAAACGCCGGTTTATTCTTACCCCATATTACCTGTCACTCAACTAGACACACGATGCTTCCCATTAATTTTACCAACACTTGATATCACTAAATGTATTAAGCGTAGTTTTATTTATAAGCCCGTGACCTTTGCAGCTTTATTTGTGACGCTGATAATCTCTAGAAACATTTTTTTATACTTCCTCATATTGATTTGTTAATATCTAGCCGTATTACCTAAAAATTAGATTAGTATTTAATTAAACTAAACCAATAATAGATAAGCTCCTTAAAAGAGTCAGAAAATAATTTTTATTCGATTATTTAATCCCTGAAAATTAACTCTCTAGTAGTCTAGGAGACAATTCTGCGACCATGCGCCACCTGTTGGATTTTTTTCAAACTACTTTTATCCAAAAATTATAGGTGGGCATATAAGGCACTTTTTTGACGAAAACGAAAAGGAATTTATATTAGTCAAGTGATCTGGGTCATGAGTCATGAGCTTAACCGAACTTCGATACAATTGGAAATAGTTATCCCATTGAGCTTTAGCCATTAAATCAGACTCGGCTATTAACACCAATAACTAAAGTTACTCATTCGCCGATAGACTATTGAATCAAACTTCAGCGGTAATTCTCCGTTGAAAGGAATCAATTATTAATCAACAGAGTATTAATCCCTTAGTGAGAAAACCGACATT